TGGTGTAGTCCTCTGATAACACCGGAGCAATTAAATTGAACACCCCATTTTTTTGCAGCTGGGGGCAGAATCCGCCTCCAGCTGCGAGATAGGCCCAATTCTTTTTAAAGGTTAAATGAAGTGCATTTATCGTTCATTCTAGTTATAACCTGCATCTGCTCATCTGGACCCATGCATCACAGGGGATCCAATATACTTTCCATCAAGCTCAGTTATCTAAAGGGTACTAGAGGTCAAAGAATTTGATAAATCCTCTAGAACCGTTTGACACAAAAATAATAGAAATCGATACCGTGAAGACGTGCGCATTTTGTCTTATTCCGAACTCAAACCCCATGGGGTAAACCCTTAACTTCTCCTCGTCAATATGCCTACCCTCGCGTACGTTCGTTGCCAAAACACCGTCCTAGTTCTTGGCAAAATTTACATCAATTTAGTTAGAGTATCGTATTTCAGTGATGGCAGTGGACACTTAAACAACAGGGGCCAAAAACATACGTGAAAGACTTCTGGATACAAATTTGAAGGAACGCTTTGTTGCGCTATGTATGCATTACCGCTGTAAGATGATGCACAGAATAAGTGATTCATATAGATATTCAAAGCACTTGAATTACCTAGAAATAAATAACCTGGAAGCGACTTTAGGGCTAACAAACCAGATAACAAGTGACACTCGCTAACAAAAGGAGAGACAAGACGAAAAAAAACATGCATCAAGCCCTCAACATTGACAGAAACAGAAAAACTTCTCCGTCGTATTGCAACGGTGTTGGTGCTCTTGATATTCCAAGTGATATTTCTAAATTATTTGTACAGCTCTGAAATAAAGGACAAAGAAAACATAAATGCTGGTCGGTCACATGACTCACTTAATTTTACGTTCTAATCCATGACCACGCGAAATTTGGAGGTCATGCAGGCTTTTATATGAGCGGGGGGTGTAGTCGGGCACTGTATAAAACAATAAAATTTATACTTGACATTATTGTCGTGGAAAGCATAATTTCAATTGGTAGGAATGTTCTACTGCCCCCGTCACTGGCTGAAATTATTCTCGCCACCGAACTCATAAACCTTTATTTTGTATGATGACAGAATTCAATAAAGGGAATATTGTGTACACGTACTTGAAAGGCGATTGCAGTGTAACCTAATACAATGCAATCAATAGGCCGGTCTCTTACTTTTTTATAGAGAGATTTGTTCCCGATGGTCATTTATCATGTGCTTTCAAGGGGCTGTTATGATCACACAGAGGGGATAATGTTTACTACCCGGTGAGATTTGGATCAGTGACGTTTCCGGCTGGGGGTGTTTAAAAGTCCTCCGCGTTGATACGATACTTATTTGGATCAACGGTTCTTTCTTGAAATCTGAGTTCCTTTTTTATGGATCTCCTAACAAACAAAAATTGATCTTCTTTTGCGAAACACTGTACTTGAGTTCAAGACTAGTTTAATAGGATGAACAGAAATCCTTGCATTAGGGGCAGGGGAAGTTAATGATCTGTTGTCGGAGAGTGTATTGCTACCACTAGCAATAACAAGTACGCCTGTGGATGCCGCTGGATATAAGGACCACCACCACTTCCCGTATGTGTTGATTACACCAGCCACAGCCTGTCAATTTGGATATAGATTGAGAAACAAGAAAGTGTTCCCGATAATTGTTCTCAAGAACGACAGAAGTCTTTTTCCTCAATGGCGTATATAAGGAGCAGCGACTTAAGTCACTTAAGATGTTGTTATTTGCAGCAAGCTCCAACCAACCCAAAGAGAACTCTACACCATCTATTTTTTTTAATTCAGCTATAGGCCTACATCAGAGAGAACAAGACCTGTGACAACAAGACGCGTTTAAATTCCTGTAATTTGTCCTCCAGGAAAATAGCACGTGCTATTTTTCCCCTTTAAAGAAAAGATCAAGCAAAATGATCGCATTGTCACGGCAATCTCTCTCTCTCTCTCTGTTGCCACTCTCGCATAAAAAATGTCAGAAATGTTTGCTTGATGATGCGTACAAGATATATCTTATAAAGGTCATCCCGTGACTATCACCGATCACAAGAAATAATAAGCTTCTCTAAACATTGGTGGAGCTTTGCACTTTGCCGGAAGTCGGTCATGATGTGATTGGTTTCTAGGAGATAAACCGAAGTCCTCCTATTCCTCCCAAGAAGAAATTATCGCTTGGCGATGGTACCTGTAGCGCATAATCGAGATTCTTCATAAGCACTGAATGGCATCCTGCCGCTTAAACGTGCAGAATAAATAACCAACCGCATGACGGGCTCATGGGAGCATGTTTCAATTATGCGATGCTACAAGGCTTTGCTCTAAAACTCTCTCAGAAACACAAATCACTAGAAAATATCGGCCGCGCTGTCACCGGTAATGGATACTCATTAAAATGGAGAGAGACTATAGGTGATGATGAGCGGTGTAGCATCGTCATTTTTGATCGCCGCGCACAGTGACAGCAAGACGGAGTGGTGTATTATTGCGCGCGGCCCGCATCACGCTCCGCCCTTCAGAACCCGATGTGTTGACACGGCTACTCTCCAGCAAAATGTCATTATTTGATATGCCTGGGCAATTAAGTCGTGGAGGTTAATGGCGTGATTGTTGCTTCAGTTACAGGACACTTGTAAGGGGTGACATTAGTGACTGCTATTAAGGTGAAGGAAACGCCCACTTTTAGGTATAAGGTAATTATCAAACAGGGCTGTCTCTATGACAACAGCTATTCCTATCCCGACTTCTTCTCCTTTGCACCGTTTTCCCAAGCCTACGACGGCATTCAGTTGACATGAAGCAACCTTATAATCCAAGTATAAATTCTATGATCGATTCGAAGAAGAAATCAACATGAACGGGGAAATGGACTGAAAGGAAATACACATTAAGTGACCCTAGGAACATGTTTTGATGTAAGCCAAAGTCCACACGTCACAATGTCTCCTCCCGTTTTGAATTGGATCATTCAAGTAATGGGCATTTCGGATGACATTTAGAATCAGAGCGGTTTGGGCATTTACGTGTCTTGTTGCTGCCCCGACGGCATCGCCTTTCGCATGACCTCCTTTTTTTATCTGGGGCAACACAAAAATAACTTCTCCCCCCGAACTTGTCGTAAGATGTACAGGAAAACCCGACAGCACACCCCATCTTGTCCAGATCGCTGGTATAGTGCCCTTTCATTTCAAGAACCTAGACTAGTGTCTTTTCGACGAGTGAAGGTACCGTAGACAGTATAGCGTTGTCAAGGGGAGCTTAACTGCAAGATCACAAACACGGGTTGATGGCGGTTTGGACAGTAAATTGGGACGCAGATTAATCGCACAATATGGACTATGAATGAAAACACGGAACGTTGAAAACAGATAATAAAGTACCTTGAACAATACGAGGGAAAAGCATCGTGTATATATTACTATGTTAACATATTGTCTGATTTAAACAGGCTCATTTATTTTGCAGTGCATGGGCAAGCACTATGAAGCAGGCACACGCAGCTACGGAAGTTGGACTGTTGTAAACCTTGAAACTAAACTGGTTTTTTTTATTCAGTGAGGACAACGTTTGGTTGAAAAATATAAAGCTGCTTTGAAGTTCTTTGGACATGGGCCAATTTAGGAAAGTGGAATTAGGAAGCAAATCCAGGAAGAAAAACAAAACATTAAATCTAAGCCGTTAGTGCCGAAATGTGCCAACTGACGAGACGCCTCAACACTGTGACTGGTAGTTGGCCTAATTTACATCAGTTTTGTCTGAAAAGCGGCATCGACCCAGTCACCGCTAATACGATCTCCTAACGGGATAGTCTCGCAGACTTCCCGGACAAAAGCTGGCCGTCTTTAGTTCGTTTCCCGGGCAAAGCGACGGACCAGAAATAGCTTCGTGACAAAAGGCGTCGTGTTATTGCAGGAAGATCGTGCGTCAACGCCGCGGATAGTAATACGGATCCCAGCAAGTGAATCTTCTTTGCACGTTTTGAGGGCCTTTCCCCCCTTTCAGACATTATTTTATCCAAACTGATAGGGAATGCTGAAATTAGATATACTTCTTTCAATTTTTGTTAAAGACAGAAAAGACACCGAGAAAATTTACTTGAAGAAAATGTAATGACGTCAAAAGAAGCAGTCGCTTCACGACTGGTATTGATACAGACATTGATACAGATATTTTTTCGCATGTTATTAATTAACACCAATCACTTCTACAAAAGCCCAAGCGATATTGCCTCTCAGATAAACGAGATGAGTTATTTTGTTCACTTGTTCAAATTTTGATAATATCCTTTTCAGAGGGTTTCACTTCCAATTTTCTATGGGTTACCGATACTCATGTCATGTTGCCATGGATATAGTGAAGGACATATTTCCCTCGGCGATCCATTTATCTGATTGTGCAGACTGGCACCACGGTTAAGTCAAGGATAAAAAACACGTTAGAAGTCCGTAAGAGCTCTAACCTGATTATTCTACCTTTCACCTTCGGTTAACCTAGTTTACACGTGTATACAAAAATCCACCATTTCTGCTCTAAACACACAACCACCCTTTGGGAGTTTTGCAGCCAGGTAAAGATATGGTTCCCAGCCGTGAAAGGTTACCAAGTTGGCTTGAGCTGATAAAAGACAAAGACAGTGTGGAGAAAGAAAATGTCTGTCTGGCTTTTTCCTATCTACAGTAGATAGGATAGGCGCTGGATGTGATTCAAATCAATAGGACGCATTGTATTACAACTCTACCGTTTGCACAAGAGGCCTTTGCCTGATAAACCCGATATATTTGACATTCAGCGTTCCAAAAATGCCGTCTCCATACAGCCTAATCTCTCCAGACAAAACCTCCCGAAAATGTCATCAAGCCATTCTTCGTCTTGCTTTTTTCAGGTTCAAGAAGACTGCCTATCCTCTCAGGGCAAGTAGTTTTGAACTCAGGCGATCCGATAAAAACTACTCATGTCATTTTAACGCTTGTGTTTGTCAAATGCCAGGTTCCCTCTGTCCGGCTGAATTCCAGTATTAGTGCAACATGATCCTGTATCAAGTAGAGTCCGATTTCTAGTCGACGACCATTGCGATTTCGCTTCTTTTTGTTCAGTTTGACGAAACAGACCGCAACACACGACGTCAGCCACGCTGCAAATGAGAGCCCGCCATCGAGGAGATTTTAATTTACACAGAAGTTTACAGCATAGTGTAACGAAGAGAGCGTTTTCTTTCGCTCCGCCGAAAGCTTCCAATTGGCTCCATTGCAATTGTTTCACGGTTAGTTTGAAAGATGGTATGTTGTTATTTGGATCTGAGATTTACGATCATTCATGTCTTGAATGCGTGAAATGACCAAGGAATGCTGCACAACGTGTCTAAGGGTTGTCCTCTTCATCGGTAATCGGACGAGTTAATTTTTTTGGCCTTTCCCAACGACCGTCTTGATTTGCGTCTGACTGTATCTGCCAAATGATGCCAAACTGCAAAAACCAGTGACCCATTGATATCATATCTCTTAACTACTTTGTTCTCCGGTTTCCGGTGGGAAGAACCTTGGTTGACAGTTTGCCGTGAGTGAGGGTCATCCGCGAGGTTTACGTTCCGTCAACTCAATCCCTCACTCTACGCGTTGAAATCGGAAATTTCGTCGCTTGGCTCAATTTTGACCTTGTTTGGCCATGGTTTGTCATTTCAAATAACGGAAACTAGGCTAACATTTGGTAAGGAAGCGAAGGATCGCTGAAGGTTGCCGGCGGCCTTTGCCAGATCAGAGGTCAATACCCAACAGACATCCAGACCTCAGACTGTTTGTGGTCTGCAGTTTCGCACAGGCAGTTGTTTTCTTGGGATCGACATCTTACTTGGAAAGAGAAGAATGGCCAAGTCGGCATTGGTGACAACTGTCTGGGCATACACGAGACGACGGCATCGCTCCAGTATACATCACCCAAGTGGTATGATTCTTCAGTTCGTCCTCTTAAAATAGGGTCTGGTGAAGGAATCGATTTTTAACCATTTCGATGCTCTCTTTCTACATGGTGTAACTTGCAAGTGATTTTGCTATTTCAATCCCAATTTCATCATTAACATTAACGGATTAGTATTGAAAAAATTCATGGTTGTAGTTTTAGTTAAAGAAATAATAATTGTGGAAAGGACGGCGGTAATTGGGAGATAATAATTTAAAGGAAGGCTCTTTGTTTGTGGGGTCTTAATTATGTTTTAGATAAAGTGATTTCTGAGAAAACGGCAAGCAACTACTTCATGAATGGTTCAGAAACACACCAGTTTCATGGTTAGGACTCTTGGAGTTCTTGTTGTACCAAAGCTAGGGGTCTGCTTGTTTTTCAATTTGAAACCTGTCCTGCACTGTGGCGTAAACTGGGGTGACATTTCTGAGGGACCACCCGTGGGGCAAACATTTCAATGTTCTAAATGTACCTGGTGAGCATGGACTTGGGCGGGGGGGGTTGGAGTTGTTGGTCCTACGGAATTGGAGGGTTTATCTCCAGTGGCCAAAATGTTTAGCAGTCTAGGTAATCTTTCCCACTGGAAGTAGAAGAAGTGCATGGTGGCTTCTGAGCTGGACTTTTTTTTTTGAGACTGGGTCCTAAAGAACGGGCGGCGTGTTTTTCAAACCGAGCTCGCAACGAAGCGGATCCCATCAGTACTGGCAACTGTACAGTATAGCCAAACAGCATGAAGTAATTCCTTTTAATCCACTCAACATTTCCATTAGGCGTTTGGAATACTGGTTTCACAATTACCTTTTGCATCATTTGGTGGGAGGTCGCGTTTAATATTTAAATAGAGAGAATACCGGAATGCAGGTTTCTTTGTGTTGGAGTGCTGTGTGTGGTGTGATCCACCTTCATCTCAAAGCCTTTCTTCCTTTCACAAAAATGCAACAACGATTGGTGCAAGCATAAGAAAGCGTACATGTAAATACATGTAAAGTGTAGTTGTTATAATATATGCCTATCGCACGGAGTGACGGTGACGGACACTGAAATGGTTCGACAGTGTTTTGAACCTATCTCATTAATCTGAAAAATCCTTTCTTGCATGGCAACTGTCAATAATTTTGTGCATGAGTACACGTCTGCGATGTAGAGTGTGCAAATATTGTCACTTTGTATTAGTCTTTGTAGTTGCAAGTTAATTTGTTGGAACCATGATACATTTTCTACGGCATCCTTGCAAGCGTTTATCGTGCCGGCATGATGCATTAAGTAGGGTAGTTTATTTTGAGAGGTGCGGTTCGAACGTTAAAGACTGTGGACTTTTCCCTGCAACATTGTTTGGCATTAATTTTGACTGCATTAACATTCGTATAGACGTATGAGGTAAGCGGAATAGTAATTATTGTGCACTTCGTGCAGCTTTAAAATTGGAGTTACATGGAGTTGCTTTGGTAACGTGTCAAGTTTGGTGTGAACTTGGACGAGAAATAAACCGCCACATGTGTACATGATGAGTTTTTAAAGGTAAAATGCACCAATTGGTTGTATGCTGCAATTTCCAAAGAGTCCATCGACTTGCTTCATGTTTTGTGTTCACTGCCATGAAAAAATCAAGAAAAGCACATTGCGCTGACGGTCAATTTGTCTTGTGCAATATCCATGGACTACAGGGCGTTCCCTTCCGAGTGTGCAAACAACGCACATGCTGGGCTAGTTAGTATACCAGTATATGTAGTTTATAAATTTACCTTGAGTGTAACGCGCTTCTTTCAACAATAAAACACCGTGGATTGGTCGAAAAAACTTCGTGGACCAGCTCTGTCACTGCAGTCGAGGTAGCAGGCATGCGTGCGCGACCGCGCGACCATACTTTCTCGTCGGTTTACACGTCGTCAATGCAAGTCCAGATACACTCAGGTGACAGATGTGGGACCAAAAAACCAATAATTATGAGCACGGGGGAAACTGTGGCTGAAAAACAGGGGTTTGTTGCCTGGAAATCGTAGGTTTTTTTGGACCAAAGTTAGGGTTTTCGCAGCATAGCTCAGAAGCGCTGCCATGTTGGCCTTTCGCTGTGCAGCTCGGGTAGGGTAACCATGTGGGCAAAGCGCTGCATGGCCAGCAGTGTAGACGATTCAGTTGGGGCCTATCCCACTTTTTCTACGTCTTTTTGGCATTAAGCTTTGAATGCTTGCTTGAACTGGGCGCGGCTGAGCGGTTTTGCCCACGACAAGTGGTGAAAGTCTGTCGAGTTGTAAACGTGCCGAATCAGTGAAAGCGCTCTATACGTGGGCCTCGGATCAATAAGTTACAAACCCGACGGCATATAGGAGTACTTTTCTCCAATATCTTGGTTAATGTCACGATCTGCTGGGTGCCTCGAACAAAGTGAAAGCATCTCACTAATCATTAATTCCACCCACCCTTCATCACAGATGATACCTGCAGTTGCAAGCTCTC